GAACCTGTTGTTCGAGCCACCGTGAGATACATCATTCCTTTTTCACTTATGCACAGCGCAGTCCCTACATCCCATATCGTGAAATCCGATGCTCCAACCCAAAATCCGGCGCCCCCATTTGATGCACAATGGTTCAAAACCTCCAATTTGCATTTTATCTCAGTCGATTCCGTGAAGGAACGAAGGAGACACGGGCTTTTAACCTTCTTCCTCGACTCTCTTCATAGCTCTGCGTGGTCGCCTTTCCTTATACCGACCAACTCACTAACCGTCTACAAAATCTAATCCCACCAGCGGGTTCGCCAGGTCACATTTGTCGAAACTAACACCGCCACTAAACTCGCCTTGCCCAAAAACCCCTAGTCCGTGTTTCTTCCGGCTCGATTTCGTCCCGAAATGAGCAGGCTACGCTTTCTCCCTTCCGCCATGCTCACCCCTCTCCGACAGCTTGTGCCCATAGGATGGCGCCGTAGCCCTGCTATCTAAGACTTCTCCGACTAGAAGTTAGCCACCAGGTATTTCGATCGGTCTCTCGGCTCATGCCCGACGAACGACCTGTTCCGAGCTTCTCTCGACAACTCCGCTCGAGTAGAACTCCAACCCCATCGCGTTTCCCCATGGGCAAACCCTAGATTACTAGCGGAGTCGAGGGCGCGGCCTGCTCACAAGGCCTAGGAGTGAGCCTGTGTGGTTCAGTCCCGGCGCCTATCTTGGTGGCAGTAGCAAATTTGTCCGATGGGAACTCCGACGACCGAAGTGGACAGGAGTTTCCATGTGACCGATCACGAGGTAAAGAGGCATTGCCTCACTGCGGGGCACAGGCACAGTGACTGGCCCATGGGAGGCGCCTGGCCCAGATCGCCGGTGCCGGTTGGTGCCTGGCACGTATCGCCCTTGTTGGAGGCTTGAGCACGAGCGCGGCGGCCATGGGGCTTCCTGTGGATACAACACACCCCCACGCGGCCCCGCCGGACCCACAACATAGGCCACATGCATTCACGTTGCTGGCCCTTTCGCCTCAAGTGCCGCTATGAATTCAACCTCGGGTGCGCCCTATTTTCAGCCACGGCGCGGTATAGGACTTCCATCAGCACCCCGACCATACGGACCCTGATGAATGCAACGCGCATTCAAGGTCCTTGACTGCCGTGACGGCCCTTAAATCCAGTGTCCCGTCCAGGTCAGCGGCACGCCGGGGCATAAAAATAAAAGTAAAAATAAGACTCCATAATGAATTATTCAGAAAATGCCACCACCAATCGGACGCCGCCGATGGCAAAAACCACGGGGGATAGCCCTACCGGGCCCTCGACCCCTCGGTCCCTTCGCGTTACCGTTGCTTCTGCGCCGTCGCCCCGCTGGCCGCGATCCCCGCACCTCCGTATCATGAGTGCAATGTCTTGACCTATAAGGCTAAGCCCAAGCTTGGAACCAACAGACGCTGAACCTCATATAAGGTGGTGCAGCCTAGTGCTTAGGACTGAAGAAATGCATTGGGCCTCACCTCCACCTACAACCAGGTGTGCGGCTGCCGAGCATCCACGCCGGCCTCCCCAAACTGTGTCGTGGCCGTCCTACACCATCCTGCATACCAGACCTGCCGCCGATCAAGTGCGGTGAACAAATGTCAACTTGTTAATCCTTAGTTTAGGTGGTAATAGAAACTAGGTCGGTTGACTATGCCGGCTTCATAATCAAACATAAAAGGGAGAAGTCACACGCGCGCCTTAAAACTGCGCGCCCACTCACCCTTTCCACTCAGTCAACCTCCTAGCTAATTCAAGTAACAGACACGGCCACGCCTCACGTGAAACTTTGATCCAAACTTATTTTCTGTCATTTGCACTAAACAGGGCGGATACCCTTGTAAGGGTATCCGCGCCGACCCGCGTGCGTCCGTCCGCCTCGGGTGCGTGGGGGGTGTCGTGCACGTGTATCATTTACCTGCGCGCTGCACTCCCCGTGCGTGTCGCTCGTGCACCGTCTCCTCCTGTGCGTGTGATAGTCCGTTCGCCTCCTCCGCCGTCCTCCATTCGTCGAGGGCTCGGTTCGGCTTTTATACTTTGCCGAGCCCTTTTTCGAAGTGTGCCCCAACTCTCGTGTGTTCCGGGGTCGCCATCAAGTTACAACGCCCGGGTACTGGGCCTGTGCCCGAGCCTGTTTGGGCCCTCTAAGAGTTTTCAGCGAGGAGGGCCCTTTTCTCGGGAACAGGGCCTTTTGCAGCACCCTGGTACCGCTGCTCTCCCGAACCTGTCCTGGGCCTATCTCGCCCTAGGTGGTCCCCACTCACAGGTGGTACCGGACCTTCGGGAAAAATCCAGCGGGGCCCCCGAAATTCTAGGCCATAAGGCCCATTTCCAAGCCTTAGGACGGGGCCCCCTTTTCTTGACGCCAAGCCCTGCCTAAAAGGCCGGTCTCCATCGCCACCAACGCAAGGCTGTCTCTTATACACATCTAGATGTGTATAAGAGACAGCTCTGTACCTGTCCCGGGCCTATTTGGCCCTAGGTGGTCCCCACTCACAGGTGGTACCGGACCTTTGGGGAAAATCCTGTGGGGCCCTCCGAAATTCTAGGCCATAAGGCCCATTTCCAAGCCTTAGGACGGGACCCTCTTTTCCTTGGCGCCAAGGCCTGCTGAAGAGGCCGGTCTCCATCGTCCCCTACGCAAGGTTTTCCCGGGATTTGGTCACTCGTGGTAACTTCGGAGGCTGCCATTGCTCGAGATGTCTGAAGCTCTGCGTCAAGGGCCCGACACCCTTTTCCTGTTGGCCTTTTGCCGACCCTCGGGGCAATTCAGGTCCTTTATAGTAGTGCCCTTCGTCCTGAGGCCTTGCCAATCCTCCTGTTGCGGTAGTCTTTCCATCCCCGTCCGCGGCTTATGCCCATATTTGCCCAGGCAAGGTTGTCCATCCCTATGTCCACGGTCCCATTCTTTCCAGATGTTGCGACCGGTACTCGTGGTGCTTTTTCGCCAGCGTAACTTCTGGATCCTGGTAGCGGCCCCAGCCGGTAAAATAAGTAAGCCGACCCCTCGCCAAGAGTTCTTATCGAGGAAGTAAAGGGCGACATAAGAGTGGAGCCGCCCGACAACGCGCCTTGAGGGATTAGTCTTTCGACGCTAAACAAATGCCGACGCGGTTGCAGGTCCTACCCTCTTATGCACCCTGCGGAGAGTGGGTGGTAGACGGGCTCCGACCCTTTGTGGCGGCCAAACACATATGGCCCTAGAGACGAGCTCCATCAGTGGCGGCACAGGTCAAGGGGTTTGACTTTGACGACCGCCACAGACTTGAACGTCCAACTATAATAATTCCAATAAGCAAAAGGTAAAAAAAGGATCTGCCTGTTTTCTCAACACAAATCCACTTGATCCTTATACACGGTCGAGGTAGACAACGCGGACACTCAATATATATAAATAAAGGGTTATAAGACACGAGACAATCACTTCTCACGAACAAAGTGTGACTTTCTTCAAGAATATACATGTGATCGTAGACAAAATCAAATCTGAATGTCGACACACAAACATACCTGCAATCATATCAACGATTCAAATCAACAAACCACGCACTACACGGGGTCAATTTCAACCACTCTCTGCACTCTCACCCCTTTGCCTTATCCACACAAGCCCCAACCTTTGTCCAACCTTCCATAATAAAACATTTAGTTGTTTTTAAATGGCCATTGAATTAAAGTCGGGGTAAAACCCAAAGAAATATTTCAATCCACAGGGGCTAAGGCATAGGTTGAGTAACGAGAAGAGTTAGAGTTGAGTCAGAAACCGACATGTTATCAAAGGATAACAGAGGAGTGATCCTTTGTAGGATTAGGCTGAACAAATCAAGCCTTCAATCGAATACGTAGACCTACATCATTGTAAGCGCCAAAAAAAACTACTACTACGTTCAAACCTAATGGAGGATATGCTTAATCTCGCAACCTCACTGCTCTACTAACCTCTCTCTTACCTTCCTCTAACTGGTACTAGAAGCTATTGAGAACGTTGGCAGCATCTCCCAGTAAGAGGGTGGATCGCCAAACGTCCCTTAGCAGAAAAATAATCAAACTCTCCAAATTTCAAAAAAATTCGATAGCGCTTCCCGTAGATAAAGTGCCTCTTCAAAATTTTTATAAACTCAAAATGAGTAACCCTTTTCATATTTGTGAAAATTTCAGCAACGCTTCCCGCAGGAAAAGGAGCCTGCCAAGCTTTATGCAAAGCTGAAAACACAAAGAGCAAAATACTACACTTGGGATTAACCTTTTGACACTTACCTGGTAGTCAAAACTAGCGATTGCAATCAGACTCGTTTTCAAACACACTTTTCACACATGTAAAGAGTAACGCAGCACACTGGCGACATGCGCCCACTCAAAACTCAGAGATATGGTTTTCAAATACGAGTTCACTCCCAATTGGCTATGGCCACTTCAGCGCACAAACATCTCACTGTTCACATACACTGGATCACCCTGGATATCCCACACGCATCACTCTAACACTCGAGCACACACACACACTCACTACTAACTACRGCTATGGCAGCTATGGCTGCCTCTAACCTATCGCTATGCTAACTCCTCCTCTCTTGCCCACTGCGTCCTCCGGGCTCATCTGCAAACCTCCTTGCACAAGTCGTTGTGGCAGCGCTTCCGCATGGCTCACGCAGGAATGAATGAATGGCTGGGCGCTGCCTCTTGATTTATACTTCAGAAATTCGTTGGTCTGCCCTTTGCCATCGGCCCTTGGTGCTCACAGTCCCCCTGTGGTACTTGCTGGACTGGACTGGGACTCTCTAGACCCTTCTGCTGACTGTAGGCAGTCGAACCGTCGACTCAGTGCAGTTGCACTGAGGTCCTACCTGTTGACCTTGCCACTTGTCTTCGTCTGAAAACGTGGGCCTACCTTAGACTCACCACTTGACCACTTGCCGACCTTCTAGAAGGACTAAAGCTAGGCCTCTGGACTCTACTTGGACTCCTACCTTACAGGTCTACAGTTCGAAMCTCCCTACAGCCTGCAACCTACGGCGACCTACTTACCACTGGCTATCGTGYAGGTCACGGGTTCAACTCCAGGGAACTGTGCAGATACTGTACACAGGTAAGCTRAGGTCAAGGGATCGACCCCTGGGATCTGCATCGGCTACTGCCAAAGGTGAAAATTGTTTCACGCCCACCGTCCTAAATTCGAGGTCCTCCGAGAATATTTCAATCCAAGACTGGACCTTTACCTTTCTTATCTCGTTCGTAAGCCCTCACCATGTCAGGGGCTGTCTCCAACAGTTCTGTTCTTGTGAACCAGCGGTCGTCTTCCGGCGCCTGGTAGGCAAACCGAACCTTATACTGTTTCTGGGGATGACCTCTACCTCCTGTTCTAAACACATCTTCGTCTACAATGCCGTCAATGTCGTATCTTCCATCCATATCCGGAGGGATCATGGATCTTCTCGAAGGGAACTGTTCACTTGTGACACACGACAGCAACTTGGAAGCATGGAAGACTGGGTACGTGTGGAGGTGTGYTGGGATCTCTATAGTATWGGACGGTCCATCCTCTCTGCCTTTGACTTCTAATACCGGCCACGGTCCTCTATAGGCAGGCAATAACTTCTGCGAGATGTGCTCCTCAGGTGCAAACTCTTTAGACTTGACCCAGACTAAGTCGCCTACTTGAAACTGTGAGGGGCGACGGTGCTTATTAGCCTGTTCTATCATTCTATGTTGGGTCTTTCTGAGGTTCTCAACAACAGTTGCTAAATGTTTCTCATGCTGCAAAGCAAACTCCCTGGTTCCGGGCGGTAGTCTGTGAATCTGATCCCGGTTCAGTCCTTCGAACGGTCTGCGTGGTCTAAAGGACTTGTGCAACTCATTGGGAGTGCGGCAGGTCGATAGATGCACGCTGTTGTTGTATGCACTAGCTACTTTAGGCAACATCTCATTCCAGTTAATCTGATCTGGTCTATTGTACATGCGCAGAACTTGTTGTAGGATCTTGTTCATCTGTTCTGTCTGACCCTTAGTCTTTTGATGACGGCCAGATGACATTAACAACTTAGATGCGTAAACTCTCATGAGTTCTTGCCAGTTCTGGCTGGTGAAGCGACTATCTCTTTCACTAACAATTGACAATGGGATTCCATTCTCACTAACCCAAAARTCAAAAAACTTCTGTATTACTAAATCTGTACGTGCCTCTGCAGGCAAGGGAACAAAAACTGCATACTTACTAAAACGGTCGACTATGACCATGACTTGGCTCTTACCATGTCTACTCTTGACTTGCGTGTCCATGAAGTCTATAGACACTGAGTCTCCCGGCTGATCCGGAATAGGCAAGGGCCTGAGAAGACCTAAGGGCGCGCGTGTAGTAGACTTATTTCTCTGGCACACTTCACAACTGCGGACATACTCTATGCAGTCATTCTTCATCCCTGGCCATGTGTACGCACGCATCAGATTGGCTAACGTCTTTTGCCAACCGAAGTGTCCCTCAGTATCGTGACATTCCCCTAGAATTAGACTATGAATCTCTTCGTTGTTGGGAACGCACAGGCGGTCAAACACATTAGTCTTCTCAAACAAACAGCAATCCGTCAGTAGTGCGGTATCTCGGGTCTCTCTAACTCTCTTTAGGAGGTCGTTATAGAAAGGGTCCTGCGTATACGCTTGTTTCACTTTCTCCTGCAGGTCTCTCCCTATATCCATATAATGTACTACGGCTCCAAAGTAGTCTGATCTCCTACTTAGAGCATCCGCCACTACATTGTACTTGCCCTTYACTGGCTTGAGCTSAAAGTCGARTTSGTCTATCTCTGCGGCCCACCTAGTCAACTTAGGTGTCATCTTGGCCTGGGTCTTTAGCCATCTAAGCGTTTCATGGTCCGAATAGACTTTGAAGTGCCTCCCAAGCAGGTAATGATTCCAATGGTCTAAAGCTTGTCTGAGAGCGTAGAGTTCTCTCTCGTACATGGAGGTAGCAACCTTCTCACAGGGCATCCTCGCTGACATGAACTCTACGGGTCTATAGCCATTGCCGTCGTCTTGCTGCAACACGGCGCCTATCCCATACTGACTCGCGTCCGTGGTGACGACAAATGGCAAAGACAGATCTGCAACTTTGAGGACAGATATTCTATTAACGCGCGCTTTAGCTTCTTGAGCGCAGACGTACAGTCTTTGTCCCATTGCCAGATTGCCTCTTTCTTTAGCAACCTGCGCAAGGGARYGGYGATAGTAGAGAAGTTCCTTACGAACTTCCTATAGTAGTTAGCTAAGCCTAGGAACGACCGCAACTCTGTCAATGTGCGGGGCGTCGGCCAATCTCTGATCGCCGCGATCTTGCTGTCCTCTGGCTTAATGCCATCTCCGTCCAACACG